CACCTCGCTCAGCCAGTGAGCGGCCGGTCTGTATGTGGGATCCGAACCCACGGCGGGAGCGCCGCTGCGCTCCCAAGCGGCGCACTGTAGCAGTGCGCCACCGGGCTGGCCCAAGCCTCTTTTTTAAGGGCCCTAGACACCTCCCAGAGGTCCTACCTCCTAATATCATCATACTGGGGGTAGGATTTTAACATATGAATTGGTGGAGGGGACACAAACATTCAGACCAGGTTTAAAAGCATTTCTAACTTTGCAAGGCCCTGAATTTCTGGAATCTCTCTAATCTCTTCCATTTTTATTTGCAACCTGGCCGATTCTTTCCTGAGCTCATCTCTTCTTCATAATACATTGCCAGACACAGCCAACAGCAGCCAACACTCACTACTGATGTTTTGTTTTCAAACCTCATTTTCTAGAGCTACAGATTTATTAAGTTTATGACCTACCTCCCAAGTAGTCTTAGGCAACAATTTTACTAAATGTCTTGCGACTTCAAAACATGGATCCACATTTTCCAAGCTTTTAATGTCATTTTCTATTGCCTAACTATTACACCAGGACCTCATATTTTAGGTTTTTGCTAGAACCCTGCTTCTATCACTAATATCTATGTTAGTATAAGCTAGGTTATGTCGCCTATCATAATCTTAAAATTTACTTCTTGTCCATGCTCCATGCCCAGTGTTTATCATTAGGGTCCTCCGTTCTGTATGGTCACTCAGGGACCCAGGCTGATGGAGGCTTCATCATCTTGTATCTGCCCTATTGTAATAAACCACCACAAAACCTAGTGGCTTAAAAGAATAATGATTAACAACTTCTCATGATTCTGAGGCATATAGCTGGGTGACTTTTCTTCAGGATGAGCCTGGGATCACTCATGCAACTGCATTCAGTTGGCTGAGGGATGAGTTCAACTGGGAAGTCTGGACCTCTCTCTTACCATGTGGTCTTTCCTCCTTATGGAGGCTAGACCAGGCTTCCTTACATGGTAGCAAGAGGGCAAACCCCAATAAGCAATGTTCATCAAGCTTCTTGTTTGCCAGTGTCATATTAGTGGGAGAAAGTTGCATAGCCAAGCTCAGTGTTAGTGTGGGACGGGACTACACAAGGGCACGGATACTGGGATGTACACGCTTCTTGTTTGCCAGTGTCATATTAGTGGGAGAAAGTTGCATAGCCAAGCTCAGTGTTAGTATGGGACGGGACTACACAAGGGCACGGATACTGGGATGTACACTTCATTGACCACAACAATCTACCACAACTATCTAGAGAAGGACTCAGCAAACTTTTCCTTTAAGGTCTAGATAGTAAATATTGTAGGCATTACAGGCCATACAGTCTCTGACGCAATTTCTCAACTCTGCTGTTAGCAACAATATGTAAGGAAATGAGCATAGCTATGTTCCCGTAAAACTTTATTTACCATACCAGGCAGTGAACTGGATTTGGCCCTGCACTGATCTGGAACATAAATCCCTTATTCAGTCTCTGCAGCAGGAGAAGAAGGCTGGTTCTTTTATGCTTTGGCTCCAAAGTAATACCTAACAATTCTGCCTTTAGCCCATTGGCCAAAACTCATTTCATGCCCATACCTAACTGCAAGGGGTAGGGAATATAACCATGCTCTGTGCCCAGAAGGAGAGGAGAGGTAGACATGGGGGGGGGGGGGGGACTAGAAATCTCTACCACAGAAGCCACATTTAGAAGATGTCCACTCTGATCGTCAGGCTTACCTTTACTGAGTACCAGGCACTGTTTATGAGTACTGAAGAAAACAGACACAAAACTATCGCCCTCGTGGAGCTTACACAGAGACCATGATGGTTAATACACTAAGAAGGAGAAGTATTTTATACACTTCTGTTCTGAAACTGTTAATTTTCTTCTCATTATTTCTGTAATTGGCTTTTTCACCAACTAGGTTGTGAGCAACTTGAGGGTATGATTATATCTTCTCTGTGGCTCATACAGTGACTGATTCTTTGTAGGTATTCTCTAAGTGCTTGTTACGTAATTGCATGATCAAACCATCAGACCAAAGCAAGGATTTACCTTAAATTTCTGGGGGTCCTGAGGATAGGTGCCTAATTTCTCTGTCACTTGGGTACCTAACTCCCTAAGCCCTAGAGCTGGCACTATCAAAAGGCTTAGAGGTGTAAGTTGTTTTTCTGTATGTGAAAGACAAGGATAGGCCCCAAGGATTAAAGTCTATATTTCTTGCATTCTCAGTGGTGAGTGAAAGGGACACTCAGCAAAAATTACTCTCCAGAGTTTAGGTTTTTGCCCAGAAGTACCTTAAAGGTTTAAGTTAATTTGCTTGCTTTCAAAAGTCTCTTGGGCAGTTAACAGAAATGGTCAGCTTACCTTTATTATCTTAGAAAGTACATGTATCCTCATTTCATAATGCCTGAAGATTATTTTGAGAATGAGCAGAACAATAAGTATTTCCCTATTTTGACCCCTCCTTCCCTCCTTTGAGGCTTGGTAGTTCTGATTTTTAGCCCTGTCTGCTAAAAACCTGGGGTATGCACTGATGTTCATTAAGAAAAGAGAATAATACATAGATGGGAGCGTAAGGCCTTAAGAAGGTTTGTACCAAATGAATAATCCCATATCTTTCAACCTAGTAAAAAAGCAGTTGACTGACGTTACATGTCATATGAGGGGATGGCTTTTATAAATGGGAATGTTTCTCAAAGAATATCTATTTTGTTTTAGGTTTGTGAGCTGGGCCATTTTTAAGCCATTAAGTTTTAATTCCAAATTTTATCAGAGTCAAATTTAATTCTTACCTTGGAACAAATTGGGCACATTTACAATACAGAGTCTTTTGAAACTGGTATTTTTGCAAAATAATCCATTTGGGAAACATGTCCATGGAGAATACAGATACAGCAAATTGACTCCAGAAGTTTACAATCTACTGATTTTTTTTTTTTTTATTTTCAATCTAGTGATTAAGTCAGGCATATAAACAGGTAACCATAACACAAACAAGAAAAATTTGTGATCAAATAGAAATATGGTTAAAATGCTTTTAGAAAGTAGGAGGAGGTGTCAAGCCGAGGAAGGAAATAGAAAAATTAAAGAATAACTTCATAGAATAAGGTGTTCTGTAAGCTGTATATGCACAGATACACAGAATTTTGAAAAGACTTGTATGAGGAAAAGTATATCTAGGAACAGGGAGTGGTGAGTGGCAGGCAAGGGCAGCAGCTGTAGAATGAAAAAGAAGGCAGCAGTGGAGGAACTGGGCAGAGCCGGAGGGTCTGATGACAGTGGGCTGCAGGGGAGGAGCAGAGGGAGGAGGCAGAGAAGACATCCAGGTGCCCTGGATGATGAAGATGGTCAGGCTTTCTGGAGGAGGAGTCACTGCACAAGAAAGCAGCACACTGACCTTGAAGTTGCTTCCAGATGAGTCTGTGACTCTCTCCTGTGGTTCTGGGTATGCTGTCTCTAATACCTCTTCATGTGGTCAAAATTAGAATACATTTATTACTTGTCGAGGAAGCACCTAGCTTTGTTCCTGCAACCAGGAATTTTTAGTCTTCTTTTATTTTCCATTCTAACGATAATAAAGGGCCCAGACTTGGACTGAATTGATATTGAAAATCATGAGAATCAGTGTTCCCAAGCATAAGAAGGTTCTTGCCTCTACCCTCAGGTAATCCTGCCTGTGCACATGGTGTTCTTAGAGTTGTTTTTCAAATAGTTCTGTTCTGTTTTCAAATATTTATTCATTTAAGCAACATAGGTATTTAATGCTGAAAGGACATCTGTCCTGCTGGCCTAGCACATGGCTTCTGAGATAGAACATTTTTTTTAGGTCTTAGTCCACCTTCTCATGGTAGAAAAATTAATTTTGACTCCAAGCAACTTAACTTACCTAACATTCTTGTTACAAGTTTTGTTTGGTACCTTGAGAGGATTATGACATGTCTTATTGGTGGGTTTTGGTGTTTTGTGTGGCATGGAAGGGCACCCTGTGGTAGTAAGTCAACATTCAGGAGCCTGAAAGTTTTTGCACATTGCATTTCAAGTTCTGAGTTTTAGGGTTTTTTCCCACAGAGATCCATATGCACACATAAAGTGGGCCCCATGGCTGGACTCCAGCCGATACAGAGTTATTTGCCAATTCCAAAGAAGCAGGGAATGAAGCCACTCGTGCCCCATCATCCATCATTTTTTTTTCTATGAACCTTAGCTAGATATTAAAAATCTGGATTTGATCTTTTTTTTTTTTTTTTTTTTTTTAAATTTCAAGTCAATTGAATAGCCTGTACAGATAGACATAAAGAAATCTAACCAGGAAGTGTTTCTGGTATTGAATCAGAACTTGAGACATTTGAGGTCATCCATTTCAGTAGTGTTTTTTTTATTTTTAAATCAGATTCTGAATATTCTTTTTGCAGGTTGTGTTCCTGACTGGCTTTGGCTATGTGTACGTGGACATTGTCCATCAGTGTGGCACGGTCTTCATCACTTTAGCCCCAGAAGGAAAAGCAGGATCTATTTTAATTAATACCAACAGGTAGGTTTAATAGTAGCAGTATAGTATGCCTTCTCATCATAATGTTGTAAACCTACTATTTACCACTCTTTGTCATCGCTATATATATATATATATATATTAAAGCTTTTGATTAGTTATCATATAATCCATAGGAAAGATATGGTTATTAGCATTAAATCATACCTACAATAGGTAGCAATATAGCATCTTTCTTGGGTACTCCTTCCAGTTCTTCTGTCATAAGTTTAACAAACTGATTTAGAAACTGAGATATGCATCGTAGAATTATACGGTTGTTCTTAGTATGAAATGCAAGTTACTACTTCTTTATCCACCTGACAACCTAGTAAATAGTGATTAGACTTAGCAATTAGATGTAGATCAAATATAAGTACACCTCTTACAGCCACATTTTCCCCTTTTAAACTGAGTATTGCCATCAGGTTTTTTTTTTTTTTTTCCTTTTTGTCTTTTTTCGTGACCGGCAACGGATCGCAACCCTCAGTGTCGCGCCCATACCGGACCGGGACCAGCAACGGGATCGCAACCCTCGGTGTTGCGCCCACACCTCGCCCAGCCAGTGAGCGGCTGGTCTGTATGTGGGATCCGAACCCTCGGCGGGAGCGCCACCACACTCCCAAGTGGCGCACTGTAGCAGTGCGCCACCGGGCCGGCCCCTGCCATCAGGTTTTAAAAACATAAACCAGACAAAGAGTTAATGTCAACTCATACTCAATAGGAATAATATAATGATATCCCCTCCTTCCAAAAACAAAAATAAAGGCAAAAGACATGAATAGAAAATTCTAGGAAGAGGAAATACAAGTAATCAAACAAATACAAACTTAAATAAGATGTTACTTATCAAATTAACATTGATGTTCCATCATATACAGTCCCAGTAGAAGAGGAAATTGGTACCATTTTCTGGAAGGCACATTAGTAATATGTATTAAGAGATTTAAAATCCCAGTGGCTTAGAAATTCCACTTTTAAGAGTGTTAAGAGTTTAAGAATTAAGGAAATAAAGTGGGCAAAAATATATGCAGAGATGTTTATTGCATTATTAATTATAATGACAAAATATTCAGGTTACAAATGCCTATCAGTAGGGAAATAGATTATACATAAACGTACCATAAATGGTACATCCACAGAAAAATAGGTCTTATAGCATTTTAATGAAATAGGAAAGTGTATATTCTAAAATCAAGTAGAATATAATATTGAATATATAAATATGATTCAAATTTGTGTCATCTGTACATATATATACCCACAAATACAATATTAGACACACACATACTTATAAAATCACTCCTAGAAATAAGACAGAAAGAAAAAGAAAAAAAAAAAAATCAAAATTGCTAATAGGGGTTAGAAGTGATTATTTAATAATTTTTGTATGTTAATTTTTATAATAGCATTAAATTCTTCTTTAAAAAATTTCTTGCTTTTGGGCTGGCCGGCCCGTGGCTCACTCAGGTGAGTGTGGTGCTGATAACACCAAGGCCACAGGTTCGGATCCCATATAGGGATGGCCGGTTAGCTCACTGGCTGAGCGTGGTGCTGACAACACCAAGTCGAGGGTTAAGATCCCCTTACCGGTCATCTTTAAAAAAAAAAAAAAATTTCTTGCTTTTATGGTTAAGAACTCATTAATTTGGACCCTGCTTATTTGAATTTATAATATATCAAATAATGTTGGATAGAGTTTTCATTGCTCAAAAGTGTTTGTAAAAAATTAACAATGTAACAAAATTGGAGGCTAAGTTTAAAATTGTATAGCACAAAATTTTAGCCTACACAACTATTTCAGAAACATTTTATCTAGGGCATAAATGTTAATGGCAATAGCAACAACCCATACATACATCCAGTGGTAGAAATAAGAAAGTTACACGTGTTTACTTGTACTTCCTTAAGTAATTTATTCAAGAAATGTTTTTCTTTTCTTTTCTTTTCTTTTGAAAACCTATAAAAAAAATTTTTAACGTGTTTTTGGGTTCAATATTGATGTATGTTGATCAAGTCAATATTATTAGCATATACATTATTACAAATCGTACTTATTCTTTACGCCCCTCGTCCAATCTCTCCCCACCCCCCTCTCCCTCCCTCCTCCCACCACTGATAACCCTAGATTTCTTCTCTTCTTCTGAAAGAGTAAGGGTTACTCTGTTGATTTGGTACCCAAATGATCTGTCCAGTGCTGAGAGAGGTGTGATCAGCTCCCCACTATTATCATAGAATAGATGCTTCTTCTGTCACTCTGGAGTGGGCTTTGTGGAGAGAGACATCCTCTTCTTTTCTTTGATCTCCACTGGTGACTCTCCTTGTGTCAATGCACTCAAGTGGCTGGCGGGCCATCTGCATGGTGGTTGTGGCATCTAGCTGCTTTTGTGGCAGCCGTGGCTATTTTGGTGGCTGTGGTGGGCCACCCACCTGGAAGTGGTGTTTTTGGCGTGCTCCCTGCCTGGTTGCATGAGGAGGAGTCAGTCCCCAGATCCATTCCTCAGGACCGCAGGCAGGCCCCCTGGCAGCAGCAGTGTGCCTGGTTGTGGGAGGAGAGGTCAGTCCTCACTTCAAGCCTCAAGACCCCAGGTGGGCTCCATGGCAGTGATGGTATACCTGGTTGCAGAAGGAGGGGTCAGTCCCTAGGTGCATCTGTTTTTACACTCTAAGATGTTGTTGTGGAGCAGTTGGGTGGGAGGGGAAGAGGGGAAAGGGGGAGGAAATAGGGTGGGAAGAGGAGGAAGGAGAGGAGGGTGTGCTTGAGGCCCATGGCATACACCCCCTCATTCCTGCAGGAGAGACCAGGGGGCTTCCATTGGTGGCTTGGTTGTTGCTGGGCTGAATGCAAATGTCAGGGGGGTGTGGCCAAACCCCCTGCCCCCCACTGCCCTGGCTCAAGAGCCCCAGGTGTTTCCTGCAGCAGCTCAATGGTCATTGCTGGGCTGGGTGGGTGTGGGTGTCAGGAGGGTATGGCCAAGGCCCAAGGCCCCCCACCATCCTGGTTTGGGGGCCTGGGGTGCTTCCTGCAGCAGCTCAGTGATCATCACTGGGCTGGTTATGGGTGTCAGGGGGCATGGCTGAGGCTCCTGGCCCTCCTCCCTGACTTGTGAGCCCAGGAGACTTCCAGTCCTTCTTGGTATTATAGGTGCTCTTCAGTGAAGTGAGACCTTTACTAGGTAACATAAAACTTTGTCTCCGGTCTATGGGTATTTTGTTTTTTCTTTCAGTTCTGTATTGGATTATTTGCTGTTTCCACCACTTAAACTCTGCACTGGAAGTAATTTGTTGTCCTTTGCTTACTTCTAAAATGGGGGAACTTCCTGTGAGGACCAGCACTTGAGTTCTGTGGTTGAGCTAAATTGCTGCTTTGCTGCTGATTCCCTGGGGAAGGCTTTTTGTGCAGCTCTAGTCTGAACCTGAGTCTTTTCAGCAAACTGCACCCCTTGCAGTTCTGTATTCCTGACCAGTCTACACAGAGTGGGCCTGTGCTGATTGGAACGCAGATCAGCTGTCCATGCTGTACCCCAATGTTCCTCCGGTGGGCCTGTCTCCCTCACCACCTATGCTCCAAACTCTTCCCATGGGGTGGGCCATGTGCTATTCCCTTGCAGTGACTCACTGGCCTCTGAGTGGCTCCTTTTTCAGTTGTCTGTGGCTCCTCATTCCTATGTGGGTCCACAGGAACCCTGTCAGTGGTCTTGCTGGCCTGGCAGCCACCAGGACCCTCTTTTCCCCTGCAGCCTCCAGACAACTTCATAGGAAGGGCACAGCTGCAGCTTTTGCCAGCTCTTGCTCTATGCGCTCAGCAGCTCCAGCCTTGAAGTGGTCAGGGCTCGAAATGATGGGAGAAATCCTTTCTTTCTCTCATTGTGGCTTCTGCTGCCTTTATGCACTCCATAGGTCTCTCCTCCTCTTCCCCTGAGCTCTAGTGGCCCCAACTTGTTTGTCGTTACTTTTTAATAGTTGTAAATTGGTTGATTTGTGCAAGAGAGTGATGCTGGGGACTGTCTATTCCACCATCTTGACCAGAAGCCAAGAAATATTTTTCAAGTGCTTACCAGACACAGGTGCTCTTTTAGGGACAGGGATACACCAGTAAATAAAGAAGTGAAAATCCCTACCCTTGAGGAGATTACATTCTTATAGGCATGGAATGGGGGTGACAGACAATAAACATAATAAAAAAGGAACTTTTATGGTACAGCAGAAAGTCAGCATTTTACAGGGATAGAAACAGAGCCCTGTAAGAGGGGTCAGGAGTGCCAGGGCCTAGGGACAGGAAGAGTGTAGTTTTAAACAAATTGGTGTGGGTAAGTCTCACCAAAAAGATGATATTTGAGCAAAGAGTTGAAAGCAGCAAGGGCAGTTATATGATGGAAGAGCTTTCCAGACAAAGGGCATAGCCAGTTCAAAGGCCAGAGACAGTGTGCCTGGCATATTGGAGGAGCAGGGAAGAAGCCAGTGTAGGCCCAGTGAGGGGAGAAGGTGACAGTAGTAGTACAGAGAGAGCACGCTGGGAGGAGGGAGACATTGAGTAGGGCCTGGTAGGCCATTGTAAGGACTTAGTTTTAATTCTAAGTGAAATGAGGAAGTCAGTGGAGCATTTTGAGCAGAGAAGTTACACACTGTCTTAAATTTTTAGATTATTGGCTGCTTTGTTGAAGTAGACTGTAGAGAAACAAGGGCAGAAGCAAGAAGGGAGACTAAGGAGATTATTACAGTGATTCACGCTAGAGCCATGGTGGCTTAGACTACAGGGGTGTCAGTGGAAATGGAAAGAAATTGTCAGATTCTGGATATACTTTTAGGGAAAAACCAATGGGATTTCCCTGATACATCGGATAAGCATTGAAAATAGAGGCATTAAGGATGTCTCAAAGGGGCCGGCCTGTGGCTCACTCGGTAGAGTGCGGTGCTGATAACACCAAGGCCACGGGTTTGGATCCCATATAGGGATGGCCGGTTGGCTCACTGGGTGAGTGCGGTGCTGACCACACCAAGTCAAGGGTTAAGATCCCCTTACCGGTCATCTTTTAAAAAAAAAAAAGGATGTCTCAAAATTTTGGTCTGAGCAGCTGGTAGGATGTGGTTGCCATTAACTGAGATGGGAAAGACTATCTGTAGGTTTAGGGGTAAGATCAAGGTTTGATTATAGACATGATAAGCTAGATGTCATTTAGACATCTAAGTGACTACGTGGATAGGTGGTTAGACATATAGTATTGGAATCCAGGGGGAGTTTTAGGTTAAATATATACTTTGGAAGGCATCAGCATAGAGATGGTGTTTCAAGTCATGAGACTGAATGAGATCTGCAAGGAAGGGAGTGAAAATGAGGACAAGAAGAGGACCAACAGCTGAGCGTTAGACACCTTAAGTTTAAGAGATCCAAGAGAGGAAAAGAGGGGAAGAGGGATTTGCATGGTTGACTGAGGATGAATGACCAGAGAGGTAGAAGAGCTGAGAGAAGACACGTGAAGAAATCGCTTCCCAGAGGAGTGAGTTATCAACAATGCCAAAGGCCACTGGCAGGTCAAGTAAGCAGAAAACTGAAAGCCCACCATTTGACTTAGCCAAGTGGAAGCCACTGATGGCCCTGATGAGAATTGTTTTGTTGGTGGGGAGGGGGCAGCAAGCAAAGGCCTGCTTGGAGCAAGCTTCAGAGAGAAGGGAAGGAGAGGAACAGGAGATAATGTCTGTAGAAACATTTTGGAATTTTTATGGAAAGGGAATCAGAAAAATAAGTGGTAGCTAGAGGAGGAAGTGGAGTTACAAGGGATTTTGTTAAGATAAGAGAAATAACAGCATGTTTATAAGCTATTAATAAGGATGAAAAAGAGATGTAGGAGAGGGGTGAATTTCTGGAGCAACGTCCTTGAGTAGGTGAGAGCAGAGTGATTTAGAGCACATCAAGGGGCTCGCCCGAGATAGGAGCAGGGCGGACCAGCTCTAGAAATGGGGGCGAGGGGGACAGCAGTTCAGGGACTCAGGCCCAGGTAGGTGGACAGTGGTGGCGGGAGTTCATGCTAAGTTTTCTTCTGCTTGCCTCACTTTTTTCAGTTTAAGAAGTCTTAGTTATTTTATTATATCTTTCTGCTTTGTGTTCATCATAATAGAGAATTAGTGCACAAAGACTAGAGGGATTTTGGAGTAAAGATCTGGTGTTGATAAGGGAAGCACATACAGAAACATGACAAAAACTTGTAATAGTCCCATTGGGAACATTTCCCAATACGGGTGGAGTGTGGCTGGCTCTGTCCAGACACAATGTACTGAAAGTTAAGTTCTTATTTGTTTCTTATGAGAATCTGATGTCCCATCAGGAGGTATTTAATAAGGCACTGTCATTAAAAAAAAGAAGAAAGAAAAGCAGAGAGAAACTAATGTTCTTTTCCCTTTCTCCTCTAGAACTCTGGAGAAGATTGTTACATTTAAAATGTTCATCACTCAGTTGAGCCTGGCAGTCTTTGATGATCTCACCCACCAGAAAGCATCATCTGAACTTCTGAGACTCACACTGGACAATGTTTTTCTCTACATGGCCCCAGGCGCTGGTCCCCTCCCTGGGGAAGAGCCCGCTGCTGCACTCTTTCAGCTTTACTGTGTGGAGGTCTGCTGTGGGGACCTGCAGTTGGACAACCAGCTTTATAACAAGTCCAATTTCCACTTTGCTGTCTTGGTCTGCCAGGGAGAAAAAACAGAACCAACTCAGTGTTCCAAAATGCAGAGTCTCCTTGTATCCAGCAAAGATTTGGAAGAATATAAGGAAAATTGTTTTATCAAGCTTTGCATCACCTTAACTGAGGGCAACAGCTTCCTATTTGATATTAATGAGTTTAGTTTTGAATTGAAACCTGCACGGTTATATGTGGAAGACACATTTGTACACTACATCAAAACTTTATTTGACACTTACCTTCCTACCAGCAATCTGGCTGGTCAATCCCTGCAACTCTGCAGTGGTGAACAGGTGTTGCCCATGCAGGTCAGACAGCATGCCAGGGCCTTGGTGAATCCCGTGAAGTTACGGAAACTGGTGATACAGCCAGTGCATCTGCTCGTCAGCATCCACGCTTCTCTCAAGCTGTACATAGCCTCCGACCACACTCCTCTCTCCTTCTCAGTGTTTGAAAGAGGCCCCATCTTCACCACTGCGAGGCAGCTGGTGCATGCCCTGGCAATGCACTATGCCGCTGGGGCTCTCTTTAGAGCAGGTGAGGACACCAGATGAGGGTCTGTGATGACTAGAACCTGGGCAAAAATGACATGCTTTGGAGTAGTGCCTTATTCAAGACATAAGGAAGCAACTGATGAGAGGTGATATGCATGGGCTTTACAGTTAAACAGAACTGGATCTAAGTCTAGACTCTGCCACTGATGGATATAAGGCGTTGGGCAAATTATTGAACCTCCCTGAGTCTCACTTTCCTTATCCATAAAAGGGGTTTTAAGATTTTTGAGGAGATCAAATTAAAGTATGTAAAGTATGCAGCGTTTTGCTTGGCACTTAAATACTTAAGTAGTAGTAGCCATTGTGTAACTTAGAATTTTAATTCAATTTGACAAACACTTTTTTAGCACCTTGAAGGCACAAGGGCCTTTCTTAGCACATGAATCAGCCAGGAAAACTAGTCAGGCCCTGAGGCCTGGGGCCTAAAAGAAATCCAGTTCTAGGCTGTTAGTTTTCTTCACTGCTGTTCATGAATAACCGTAGGTGAGAAATTCAGGGGTTTTGTATGTCCATAAGATATGTGAGGAGCCCTCTCCCCATCCGGTGCTGCACTGCCTATCTCGACAGATCCCAAAGACAGCATGTCTCAGCCGCTCCTCAGACCTGAGTCCAAAGAACAGCCCTTGCTCCCTCTTCCCAACCTCTGGAACTGCACAAGTGGCCTCCTGCAGGCCACGGGCTGCTGTCTCTCAGGGGCTCAATGGGAGCAAGCAAGGCTTCCCTTTTCAGTCTGCAAAAGTCTGCAAAGCATGGTTAGAATATGTGCACAAAATTTTGTGGGGAGTACTCTGTGCTAAAGATTGAGTGTTGGGAACCATGTGGCCTCAACACATTTTATGGTCATCGGCCTCAGAGCATGTTTTCCTGAACCAAGTTTACTAAAGTAGTTTCAGTGTCATAATCTGGTTCCTCATGGTCTCAAGAATTCAAGTAAAGAGCACCATCCAGATTAGGCCTTGTCAGTCATTCCCACTAAAGAACACGGAAATCTTACTTTCTGAAAGTAACAAGGGAGAAAACCTTTGTTCTACCCTCTTGGTAACATCATAGCTAGTGAATGCATTCCTATGTGAGATTAAGACTAGCAGTAATGGGCCGGCCCGGTGGTGCACTGGAGAGTGCGCTGCTTGGGAGCGCAGCGGTGCTCCCTCCGAGGGTTCAGATCCCATGTGGAGACCGGTTCCCGCTCACTGGTTGAGCGTGGTGCGGGCGCGACACTGAGGGTTGCGATCCCATTGCCGGTCCCCGGTACAGGCGCGACACCAAGGGTTGCGATCCTGTTACCAGTCAGTAAAAAAGACAAAAAGGAAAAAAAAAAAAAAAAGACTAGCAGTAATGACCCATCTATGTTATTGCCATACTGGTAAGATGACATTTTCTCCATAATGAAATTCATGCAATCCAGAATTCTTTTATAAAAGAAAATTTCAAGATCAGGGAGAGGGCCCTGTCAGACCTATTGTTTTGATAGCTTGCTCAACAGCGAGGAAAATATTTCCCTCTTGCTAAGAAATAATTTAAAAATAAGCAGTTAACATCTCAAATTTAATAGACGCATATATTTATAAACAATTCCAGAAACTCACCCTTTTGGGCAGTTTTTGCTGTTAGCATGAGAAGCAGGCTTGTAGGTACTGGCTCAGATTTGAGGCCTGAGAAGGAATGAGGCTCTCGTCCGGACACTGTGTGATGCTGAGGTTCAGGGGCACCTGTCTGTGCCACGAGCTGGCAGAGAAGCTCCATTTGTGGTACCAAGTAACTGTGCCCCTGCAGCCGTGTGCTGAAGTTATCTCTGTTTTATGTTTAATGAGCTTTCACAAGAGCAGTTTGGATTTTTTGTAATTCCCCTAAAAATCCTCTAAGGAATTCTAATATAGAGGGCAAGTTTTTAGAGCCTAATGGGAAATCCTATCACTAAAATCCTATGGACAATCTGAAGATCACTGAAAGAGAGCAGTGACTGGAGGAGTAGGAAATGGGAAGATGGCCAGAGGTACCAACGCCAGATAGAGAATTCTTACTGAGAATGGACCGCGTTCTTGTAGGGAAAGGAGAGGGCTGGCCTGGGAGCGAGCAGGTGGCACCCGCGTCGCATTGGGTCAGCTTCACCTACTGAACTTGAGAAGTTTCCTGCCTGTGATGGTCAATAACACCCTGACCTCATTTCTAGGGAAATTTGTGGAGTCACCTTGAAGAGGTTTTAACAAACAGTAATTGGAAATGAGTAACTTACCCTATTTGAAGGAATGTGGGCTTTATAATTTCCTGAAGTCCCTCTCTACCCTCAAGTCTCAATTTGATAGGAAGCCCGACAGACTCCCTTTTTCAACAAAACTTCCAAACAAGTAAGCAAAAGATACACGAGGGCACTTGAAAAAGTTCATGGCAAAATAGAATTAAAACATGATAGGAATCTTTCCGTAGACTTTCTGAAGTACCCTCATATTTGCTTCTGGAGGAAGATAATTAAAGAAAGAGTATCCTTGGGTACTTCCTGCCCTTTTCCGGCCAGCTCAGATGCCGCTGAGATGTGGCAGTGGTGCACACATAGCCCTCCCAGTGGGCAGTGCTTCCGGCTTCAGTGTCACAGTCCGGGAGATCCTAGCCCCACCCTTCACGGGCCAGAAAGAGCAAGGAAGGGCCCCCAGCAGCTGGGCGGGAGCGAGCTGGAAGGGCCGGGGGCTTCCCGCTCCCTCTGTGCACCCGCTGCGCTGGCCTGAGTGGACCTGTCATAGAGTGGTCTTTGCTTGTCAATAGCTACTCTCCTTTCTTTATATGTGGAATCTTTGGAGGAAAGGGGAATTAAGATGTTTAGACCAAACGTTTCCTTCGGGAGAAACTTAAAACCATTCCAGGCTAAAGGGAATCTGCTGTTTCTTTACCTCCAGAGCGGGCCCTCCAAGGAAGAATATTCCATAACTTCCCACAGTACCCTGCCTACTCTTTATAACCTGGACTCATGGAAGCGGGGCCAAGGGGTGGGGGGTGGTTAGGCTTTGGAATCAGGTAAACCTGGCTTGGAAAACCAGCCCACATGTCTAGTCAGTCGGGAGATTGGGAGCAATTGACTTCATCTCTGAGCCTCAGTTTCCTCCTTTTCCTATCTGACTGTAAGACCATGGAGACATAGTAACACCATGTTGGTTTTGCCTCTGCCTCCTGTTCCTAGTCCAGTCCCTGAACCCAAGCAGCAGCTCATTCATTACCTGGCCTGAATTTATTTGGAGGTAAAAGAACTTTTCTTGCACAGTTGCTGTGAGAATTGAGTTGAATGCCTAGCACCCACAGGCCATTCCATTTGTAATCTTCATCTTCTGGAAATTATTCCCTCCTTTGATCTAAACCCTAATGTTACCAACCTAATAATGTTCCAGAAAAGGTAGGGGGCTCCAAATTTAAGAATATCCCTGTCTGCATGCACTGGGCAGGGGAACTCTTTAGGACCTTGGCTTGGCTCTTATACCCAAACCTTTCTGATCCTCTCAGATTGGTAACTTGACTGAGGATCTCTGTGACAGGACTGTCCTCCAAGGACCTTCTGGTGAGGGAGGGATGGCTCCCACACAGGACTATCCCCACGGCCTTCCTGTTATAGTGTCTTCAGCCCCTGGCAGGGAGGTCAGCAGATTACTGGAGGAAGTTGTCTTTTTGGACGCCTCCTCTTTTGGTCCTTTGGCCCTTGCCTACCCCTCCAGTCCTCTGGGCCTATAGTCAGTCCCAAATCCCCACCCTGAAGAAGACAGGGAAGGGCAGCCTCTGCTGGACTCTGCACCCCAGCCACATTGCCATGAGGCAGCGGACGTAGCAATCAGGCCACTGAGCAGGCCGGCTCCTGGCAAGCCCTCGCTTAGATAGGAAACCAGATCCAAAGCTACCCTCCTGGGACATTCAGAGGGAACACTCCCCTCTCGCTAACCTAATCAGTATGTCCCTGTCACCGATGTTTACACAACCAAAGCTGAGGTCGAATGGGGAGGCATTTGTCTGGCTCCAGCCCTGCTCCAAAGGGAAGCACTCAACTTGGTAAGGTTGGAGAAGGTTAAAAATAACTCCTCCATCCTTGTCCAAAGTTTGCATCCCCTTCACAACACCCCATTTAGCATCTGGCCTCTTCCCCCTGACCAAGCACCTCCCCCTCATCTTGGTACCTTTGCTACTTCCCTGCGGAGTCTTGAGAGAACTTCCCAGCCTGTGTCACCTGCAGCCCAACAAGCACCTTTCCTTGGGCTGGTGGGAGTGGCTTTTCCCTGCACATGGATCCCTTTTAGCAGGAATACAGGAGGCCCACGCCAGGAAGTCATATTAAAGCCATATTAAAGCCATTTGTGAGGCTGCCAGAGGACCACTTTGATTTATAAAGTATGAAAGTTTGCCATTTATGAATTCACAGTGAATGAGTTATTTCCCTTATTTTGCTCCAAAGAAGCTTATTACATTCCCAATTCTAGTGTGAAAAATGAATTGTAGGGGAAATGGGTCACTTTTTCACAAATGTTGAAAGTGCTGTATTTGAGATTTCCGTAACCCCTTCCCTTTGGTCCGTTGCAGGCTGGGTGGTTGGATCTCTGGAAATCCTCGGCAGCCCTGCAAGTTTGGTGAGAAGCGTAGGGAATGGGATCGCTGATTTCTTTAGGCTTCCATATGAGGGGCTGACCCGAGGCCCAGGAGCCTTCGTGAGTGGAGTTTCCAGAGGGACAACATCATTTGTAAAGCACATTTCCAAAGGTAGCTATTTCATGTCCTTGTAGTAATGCCTTAATTTTATTCCTTCCCTGCCTTCTGTTTTATTTTTAAAGAATGTGTTAAAGTTTTAAATGCATTCAGATTGCCTCTAGCTTTGTTTGGCTTGTTAGCTTGCAGTAAAATGTTGGATTTGTAACAAAGCTCATATATAATGTCTTATGTTTTAAACAGATCACTACTTGCCTGTACTGTGTGAAAATGTTTCAGAAACTTCAGAATTTTAAACCCCCCGTTGGGAAAACAAGGATTGGCTCAACTGTTATTCCATGTGATAAATACAGAAATATTAAAGGTGTTCAGGATTTCTGCTAAACATCAGAAATCCTACACTGCGTTGCCTCATCATATTTTTTTAAGTGTAGATACAGTTGTCATAACTGCCTTAAGGATATGGATCCAGTTTGACATGGAAGTTGGTTTAGAGGTCAAACAGCCAACTTCTCGCTAACACCACACGGAAACAGCGCCATCTTGTGGCCCAGATTGGTCATCGGGCACAGAGGCCGAACTGCTTCCCCACAAGAGTGTGTTAGTTTTATCCGTTTGTGTTTGCTTAATGATATTTTGAGCAGGTCGACAGTGACTTGGGAACTAACACAGGCCATCTGAATCCCCTTTTCCTGTTAGCGGGAGGCAGAGAAAACAGGGCAAAGGGCTTTTCCCCATAATAGGCATTTCACTGTAGACAGTGCTGCAACTCCATTATGGGTGGGCAGGTTGTAGAAGTCTCTAGAATGCCTCAGAAGAAGACTTGAGCTTGAAATATGAGAATCCATGATCCATAGCAGGGATGAGGGACTATGGGTGGGGGGTTGGCAAGAGAACAGCAAGAGCAATAAAAACAAATTCCACGGACAGTGAAAAAGGACCACTCCCCCAGGCCCCGAATCATCTGGGGAGGCCTGGAGCAGAGCTGCAGAAACTCACCAGATGAGTCACTGGCGGATTTCTCACTCTTGACACTAGAATCTCTGTGGTTCTGTTTTTATTTTAAAATAAGACAACCAACACCTGCTAAATTCAGCAGTAATTTTAGCATATTGACTCATGGATGTTTTTTACACTTGTTCTCTCCTTCTCTTAGCAAAATCTGTTTGGTTTGCTGGTTTGTGTGCATGTGTGTGTGTGTGTGTGTGTGTGTTTTAAAATAAGACAACCAACACCTGCTAAATTCAGCAGTAATTTTAGCATATTGACTCACTGGATGTTTTTTACACTTGTTCTCTCCTTCTCTTAGCAAAATCTGTTTGGTTTGCTGGTTTGTGTGCATGCGTGTGTGTGTGTGTGTGTGTGTTTTAAAATAAGACAACCAACACCTGCTAAATTCAGCAGTAATTTTAGCATATTGACTCACTGGATGTTTTTTACACTTGTTCTCTCCTTCTCTTAGCAAAATCTGTTTGGTTTGCTGGTTTGTGTGCATGCGTGTGTGTGTGTGTGTGTGTGTTTTAAAATAAGACAACCAACACCTGCTAAATTCAGCAGTAATTTTAGCATATTGACTCACTGGATGTTTTTTACACTTGTTCTCTCCTTCTCTTAGCAAAATCTGTTTGGTTTGCTGGTTTGTGTGCATGCGTGTGTGTGTGTGTGTGTGTGTGTGTGTGTGTGTGTGTGGATTTTTTCTTCTCAGATTACTGGGAAAGATGCAGCTGCGAAAAATGACATCTACCATTTCTTGAAACTGGACGCCTGATGACAGATGAGTTAGCTCATGAGCTTCACAAAGTGTCCATTGATGCCTTTCAGTTTTGCTCATTGAGATTTATGCAGACTTGCTGGAGGGAGTTGGGACTGTTTTGAGCAAGATGCTGGAATAGCCATATGGAATTGCGACTGTCACATGATTTTCCTTCTATTGTCCTCACCTTTTTTTTCAGTTAACGTCCTGAATTTCAAAATTATACATATTCTTTGTGGCACAATAATTGCTTCCTCAGAATTTCAAATGACAAAGTTCAGTGTCTCCTTTTATTTTGACTGAAGTAATAAGGAGGGAATAAATTTTATTCCTAAAGTGGAAATATTTCTTCACAATCTGTCTAAAATTCAGCAACATAACTTTAACCTTTAAAATTAGAGCAGGCAAATTTTAACCCTCAAAATTAGGCCTAACGGATGGTTTCATATAAAGCTCTGGGCCCCTTTGTGGCAGCTGAGATTCCCGCTCTAGCCCTGTGCAGTGCCATCACCCTTGTGCGTAAGTTCGTCTTCCCCTCACTCTCCTAAGGCACTTGCTTCAAATTGCCCAGGAGGGACCCACCATCACTCACCACTGGGCATGTCCAGGAGGGATACAAGTGTCCCCACCACCCCTTCACCCTGCTTTCTCCAGCCCTCCAGGACCACTGTCCTGGGGTCCACCACGTATGTGACAAGGCAGCCAACCTCTGTGCTCTTGTGCCCTCAGGTACCCTCACGTCTATCACCAACCTGGCCACAAGCCTGGCCCGGAACATGGACCGGCTCTCACTGGACGAGGAGCACTACAACCGGCAGGAGGAGTGGCGGCGGCAGCTCCCCGAGAGCCTGGGCGAGGGGCTGCGACAGGGCCTGTCTCGGCTGGGCATCAGTCTGCTTGGTAAGGGGCTGCAGGGACTCCCATCTGTCTGCATTGCAGCTCTGCTGAGGTGCAGGGTCTCCCAGGATTTGACAGCTTCACCTTCTGCCTGGGGATGGCTGTGAAGTGCTCAGAGAGGATAAGGCACTCACTTGTGTCCCTATAGTGCATCCGTGAGTCACTGAAACATGGCCCATTTCCCAGAGCCATCATGTGGCCATGCCAAGGGCCATCCCAGGAACTGCCCACAGGGAGGCTCACCTGCGTAGACGCGTGCTCTGCCGTCCTTTGCCTCTGTCATATTTTAGGCCTCAGCATGGTTTTCCAAAGGAAAGAATAATTCCATAGGAGGCCCCAAGTGCAGAGGTGTCCACACAAGGACAGTGGTACCCAGCTGTGTGTATTTTGAAGTGAGTGATAGGCAGCCCTCCTGAAGCCCTCACTCCCTCACTCCCATAGACATTGCAGACGCTCGCTTTTGTTTGAGAAGCACTTGAACAACGTGCAAATGTCATGTAAACTTCAGTGAGGAGCCTGCTTTTTCCTTTTATTATTATATTTTTTGGAAATCGTCCTGACTCAGAGAAATTATTGTTTGTCAAGCAGCCAGATGGTATAGTTAGAGGTGAAGATTGCTATGGATATTTCAGAATATTACAAATGTTTGAAAATAAGTTGCTTTGGAAAAATCTATAAAAAGGAAGCTTCAGAGCTGAAAGTTTGCAGAGCAGGATTTTCAAGGGTATTTTTTGTTTGTTTGTTTGCAAAGGAATTTAAAACTGTATTTCTTGGCAACATGCCTTCTGCACATCTGAGGGAGAGTGCGCCTTGCAGAGATCAAAGTGACCAAAAGCAGCTTTGAGCAAAGGGTAGAAAAGATGAGCTTGAAAGGATTTGCCCTCTCTCCCATCTTCAGTTCTTTACACACTGCTCAGCTTGCAACCGCAGCCAGCTGAGGTTCTGGGAGGAAGCAGTAAAATGTTACAAGTTCAGGTTAAGTTGCTAGAAATTATTTAAGTACTAACGTGCAGTGGTATGAGGCACTGTCATTTGATAATGCATGGAAACGGGGAAGCTGGGGACCTGGGATGAACGTGCTAGGTAAAGGAGCAATTGCCTTGCTGACTAAGCAACCAGAAGGTGATGGTGACTCCTTTGGGGAAGTTTGTGTGGGGTGGTGGGCAGAACTTGTCACTCAGGAGCTGCAGAACCCAGGCTAGGGTGTCCAAGTCCTTTCTTTGTGACCTCAGGCAAGTTCTTAACTTCTCTGAATCTGGATTTCTCTTTGTAAATTGGGGCTGGTAATACCACTATTCAAAATGCAGATAGGCAGTCATGTACCAGGCACAGAGTCCATGTTTGGTAAACAGCATCTGTCATTATTAAATTAGGATAGCAAATTATGGTTGCCTGGTTTCAAAGAGTATCTCAGCAAAGAGAAACATTTGAGCAATGGCAGGAGCGTTTTTGCTTTAGTTTAGTCCAATGGATTAAGTTGCTGTAACTAGAGGAAGTGATGATGAAGTTATCTTGGGGCCCTTAAGTCATTGTTTTGGGACTTTGGGACATTTTTATGATAAGAATTGTAGGCTTAAATGTGCTAACTCTCAGCATAAGAGCTTTCTTCTCTCCACCCACTCTTCTTGAAGCTTCCAGGTGATCAGAAAGAAGAGACCTGAGCTGGCTGACATGTGGCTGTCTCCATCCTAACTCCCTGATTCCCTTCGAGCCCGAGAGGTCTATTCTCTTCCCATTGAGAGAAGCCCCCAGCCACTAATCAGTTTCCACTATATAAAATTGTCCCCAATGATAGAAATCAGTTATGTGCGGAGCCATGAATCTGCCCTGATGATGTCACCCTTTTAGGCATGGCTCCCAATGTCAGGGTAGAAAGTCATAAAGCTCTGATCTTTGCTATGGTCACCGTGACTTGTATTTCCTCATCCATGCAAGGGAATCATTTAGTCTGTCTGTGGAAACTACAGTGGGCTCATGGGGTCTTTCTGCATCTCTGGTAATTTCCAGAAACCTGTGAGTTCCGCGAGTGAAATAGATCCCTCCTCAGTGTGTACTGGCTGTACTTGCCAACACTGGCCTGCCCCTGGGCCCCCTGGAGCTCCAGTCCTAACCTAGCACACACCTTGAGCAGCACATCCATTTCTGGACTCATTAGAGTTCACAGTGGGCATCTCAAGCTGGGCCCACACCAGCTTTCTTTCCTCTTAGAGTTCAAGAGCCTTTCTGTGTCCCATATAATCTCTGGGTTATCTAAAAATATCTGGTCCTAGAACTACCAGATGTGTGGCAGGAAGAAGAGAGGGGAAGTAAGACCAACCAATTCTCCTAATCTTGGAAAGTATAGATTTGTCACCATTTAATCCATCCCCAGAAATGGTGTTTAAAATTGCCATATGCAATTAAGTGCCTAACTGAAGTTAGAGATACTATAATGTAATAGTTTGAAAATTCTAGTTGCTCATTTCTTCCTTTACGAGACAGAAATGTTAAAGACACAGTTAATAAAAATATACTTAAAGAACATTTTAGGGTCGAGAAAGCACTTTCACATGTGTCATCCTATTTGATCTTTACAACCCTAGGCATGGAGAAGTTAAGTGACTGGCCAGGTCAGATCTCCAGCAAGGACAAGAACTTTGGCCCTTCTATCATGTCACCTACCCACAGAGGGCTCCCGGCCTGGAAGCAGTCAGGACGTGGGGAGGTTGAACACTTGGAAGTTATAGGGTCGGAGAAACACACTTCCCCCAGATGCTTATGGGGTCAGTGGCCCTTTTTGACTCTGCTTTGCTCTCATGGGGAAACTGTGGAGTGTTACGAGGTACTTGAAACTCAGAGGAAGTCTTTAGCTGCCATGCCCAGCCACATTGCCCCAGCTCCGGAAGGAAAAGTGTCAGCTATCCAAGAGATGCTGCTGAGGTGTTTGGATGAGCTCCACAACAGTTTTCCAAAAGCAGTGGTGCTTGAAAAACTCTTTAGCCTGCAGAACTGGCATAGCCTACGCACATTGACTAGGTCTGTTCCCCAAACACCCCACTTTCTACCAGGCCATAGAGTCTGTTCTGAGAAAGGACGTGCAGCTCCATGTCACAGGTACACTCCACCTGCCCTGCTAGCCCTGACTCCTGTTCAGAAATGGCTTCTCTGACCCCCATCTCTTTGGGGCTACTGCCTGATTTACGAACAGAGATTCCCCCAGAGGCCACATCCCTCTGTCTTCACAGGCACTTAATAGACCTTTCCAGGTGAATCAGGAAGATTTCCCTCCGAGGGATTGCCCAAGAGCTGTGCTTTCCAGCAGACAGCACTTAAGAGGAGTCCCTCTGATACCACAACCTGCCGTTAGCAGACTGGTTTGCAGTTAGTCGGGAATTTAGGAATTACGGACCAAAGTGCTTCCTTCTCAGTTTACTAATCTGTTCTGGTCAAAAAAAAGCTAGCCTCTGGCTAGAATGTCTAATATACTCTGGGGTTCATTTGTCTCTGGAATGGTGAGCTGTAGCGTGGTGTACCAGCTTAGGCCTGTGCCTCTGCTACTGTAACAAAAAAGTGCCCCAAATAAAATTATACCACGTGGTAAGGGCAGCATCAAAATAGCCACATAGGCAGGTCCTTTCATAGATCAGTAACCAAGTGGTTTTTGCCTGAGGCAGAGAGCTAGTCGCAGCAGAGGTGAGGGAAGGCCCTTGTAGTTCCCTTGCTTCACAAAGAAATTCCTCCTCCTACAACTAAAGGCACAAAAGGAAACAGCCCCCCACGTCCTGCCTGGCCCAGCACATAGGTCCGTGGAATCTCCCCTCCCAGCACGCTCTTTCCTTCCTTGCCTCCCTTCATCACATCACAGCCGTCTCCATGTGGCCGCCCACCCTGTGGGCCTGTCGCCAACAGACAAGTCTTGGGATCAATTTCCACTTCTTAAAGCTTTGGAGCAGAGTTTGAGTATATGACAGTAAATAATTTTACAGTCTTAGGATTTAGCTGGATTATACTTAATAAGAGAGCCTTCAAAAGCCCTATGAGAAGCTGCATCTCTCAAGGCAGGGTCACAGAGACCATGAAATGGCTGCTAGTCTCTTATGGCCTCTCTGTTCTCCAGCTCTTTAGCACAAAGAGGGAGACAGCAGCACCTGGGGACCAGTGAGGTGTCGATGTGTGTGACAAGCCAGCTTTCCCCCCCTCAAGGATCTGGTGCTGAGCTGAGGGCATGTGATCTGACAGCTCCTTCTCTAACTCTTAGAATCTAACACCTTGTCATGGGGCTCGGGCTTTACACTTTTCAGGCTCCCAAATAGTCTATCTATCAAAGCCACAGTAACTGGAGCCTTCACTGTGGCCAGTGGCTAGAGAAATCGGAAGATCAAAGGAGAGTTCCACTGTGATACCTGTTTGCACTTAAGCACATAGAAGCTGGCACCCTTTGTGGACGATCACAGCTGGTCAAGGCTCTATGTTCCTTGTACGGGTTAGGGCTGGCACATGAAAGGGAAATGGGAGATTCTAAATGAAGTAACCACCTGTCCCCCAACTCAATTTTAATAGTCTTAATGGAAAGCTGCACTTAGGGAAAAGACATTTCTACCAGAAATACAGGCAATAATTTAATTTATTGGTGAATTTGTACTTACCCCAGTTTTTCAACTCTTAAGCATGGAGATCTTTCAAAGAAATCAGATAATGAAACCACAAAAGCTGTAGTCTAATGATCTCACTCATATGTGGAAGTTAAAAAAAGAAAAGTGGTTCACATAGAAGTAGAGAGTAGAATAATGGTTACCAGAGGCTTGGGATGCAGGGGAGGAATGGGCAGTAGGAGAAGTGGTGGGTTAACAGGTACAAAGCTATGCCCTCTGCCCTAAGTGAATCAATGTACAGTATATGTATGTATTGAAACAACACAGTGAACTCCACAAATATGTACAAATAAGTTTTTTTTAAAAAAAGGAAATGCTGTATTTGATGCTGTTCACTTTGAACTATTGTCTGGGAAATGATTGGAAGAGAAGACCCAGGGCTACTCCGCTCCTAGTCTTATAGATGAAGAGCAAGGCATCTGGTTCCTCAGGACTGGCTGGCTGGGGTGCTGAAGGATCGATCCCTCAGCCCTTGATAGCCAGGGTGGCCTTAGCCAGTGGGGAGGTGGGGAGCAGCTTCCTTGGCTTATCCTTGTCATTTCTTTAGAGGTTTGGGCAGCACTACTCTAGGCCGGGAAGCAGACCTGTCACCTAAGGTCATTCTTAATCTGTCAGTGCATAAACTTAAATGGCTACGTCAAAACCTACAGGAATGGAATCCATGAAGAACATTCCCTTTTCCAACTGACCTGAAGGAACTGGCCTTTTGTTTTACTGGATTTTGTTCAATGGAATATTTCTTGAAGTTAGCAGGTCATTAACTGAGACCTGGAAATATCTATTTACCCAAGAGACTTTGAATTAGTGGCACTTGGAGCAATGGGATTTGACATGTACTAAAATTTCTACCAGGGGGACTGTGCATTTTCTTTACTCCTAGCAGGTATGAGTTGATAACAGAATTCTGTCAAGAATTGTGAGGAAATTTTTGCTTCTTACTGAGTTAGGGAACCCTCCACTCCATCATGAAAAAAAATATCAAGACTGGTGAGGCTTTCCTAGATCTCATAGAGCAAGATGCATTCGCAAGAGTGGCCGAAGGATTCCTTTCATTTGCAACCACCTTCAAACTCAGTGTAGGAAATGGTTGCCCCATTGTAAAGCTGTTAGAACAGAGTCGTGAAGCAGGGTTTGTGTAGCTGTTCTAAAGTGAAGAGTCAGTGGCCAACTCTCAGTTGAAATGAGGGAAGGAAGTTTTTCAAGATTGGCAAAGAGGAAGAGCCTGTTTTATAAACAAGAGAAGTGAATAGCTTGGTGGTTAAGAGCTAGGCTGTGAATCATACTCCCTGGATTCAAATCTGGGCTCAACCTCTTAACAGCTGTGTGACCCTGGGAAAAACTCCTTAATCTTTCTGTGCCTCGGTGTCCATATCCGGATGAAAACGATGTTTGACTCCTAGAATTATGAGGATGAAATGATCTCATACAGATGAAGCTCTTAGCACAGTCCCCAGCACCTAGTAATTAATAGAAATATTACTATATCATACTCTTATTAAATAATTATTAAAGTACTATATTTGTAATATTAAATTATTATTAAATAATTGTTGTTGTTATTAAAAGTGGGAACATAGAAAGTGGCTGGCCCCTTCCCATTTTTTTCATCCTCCTGATTCGGCGAAAGTATATTAGGCTGAGTAGGCTCGCTCTCTGCCTGAAGAATCGTTAGCTCTTCTTCCTAAACTGTGTTGACTGATTTCTGGGGAAAGGCATATGGGCGACACTTTGGAATGGTCTGACATTTTTATTAAATTCTGTAGGAAATGGTTGCCCCGTTGTAAAAAACTAAACTTCACAGCTCCTGACTGTGTGAACCAAACCCAGCGTGAACATTGTGTTTTTTTTTGTTTTTTTTGTTTTTTTAAAAGATGACCGGTAAGGGGATCTTAACCTTTGACTTGGTGTTGTCAGCACCACGCTCAGGTAGTGAGCGAACCGGCCATCCCTATATGGGATCCGAACCCGTGGCCTTGGTGTTATCAGCACCGCACTCTACCGAGTGAGCCACAGGCCAGCTCGTGAACATTGTGTTTTGATGAAGATAATAAACGTCTAACTTAAATAGTCCTCGATGTACTTAGATATTTGGTAAATAAATGTATAGTAAATAACTTTCTAATGAGGGTGGCAATTCATTTTCAATCCAAGTAAAAACTGTGTTCCAGATTGTGATTTTCATTTTCTGAGGATTTTAAGCCTGTGTCCTTACTGAGGGCTTTTGTTGTTTCAGGTGCAATTGCTGGTATAGTGGATCAGCCAATGCAGAACTTCCAGAAAACATCTGAGGCTCAGGCTTCAGCAGGACACAAGGCCAAGGGTGTTATCTCAGGTGTGGGGAAAGGAATCATGGGGGTGTTCACAAAGCCCATTGGAGGAGCTGCTGAGCTTGTGTCACAGACTGGCTATGGTAAGTTAGTGGAAAACCAATCAGGCCAACTCAGCCATTTTTAATTTGCCAATGATTAATTTGCATTATTATACCAAGGGTTCGCTAAGATAATCGAGCTTTTCACATGGCAAAGGAGCGAAAAATAAAATAAATAGTAGCTATCTTTCTCACCTCCCCATGCTTACTTACACAGAGTAGAATTGTACTACTAATAAAAAACAATAATAAAATTGTAGAACCAGGAAATCAATTAGTAATTTCAATATATGTATGTCACAGAGTCTTTCTACAGTACATGTAATAAAATAGACTTTGAAAAGTAACCAGTTGTAGGTTGAGAGCAGTGTTGAGAATATATTGCAGCAGAGAAAAGAATTATTACTTCTTCCCATGATAAATTTGGAAGGAAAGATAGGTTATAAGGAAGAAAGGCACCTTTAAGTGACAGTGTATATGCTTTGGAGAATGAGAGGTAGACGTGGGTTTCAGTGGCTTTCTTACCTGTAGCTACCACCCTGCTCCTTGCAGCCAGGCTGAGTCTCCTGGCCAATGGAAGCAAGGCACATGCGAAGAACAACCCTTTCCCCAAGTCGACGTCTGTGGAGAACTTGGGCTCGTGGCACTACTTGCACTTGGATGGTGGAATGCTCAGGCCTCTCCCATGCATGTGTGTGCACACGAGAAATGGTGTGAAAGGAAGCACCTAGAACAACCCTTTCCCCAAGTCGACGTCTGTGGAGAACTTGGGCTCGTGGCACTACTTGCACTTGGATGGTGAAATGCTCAGGCCTCTCCCATGCATGTGTGTGCACACGAGAAATGGTGTGAAAGGAAGCACCTCCTCCCATGCTTATTTTCTGCATTCTTGGCAGAGCACATTAAAGTAACTTTCAATAAACATATGACTGGAATTATAACCTTTTAACCTAAAATCAGTAGAAGCAAGCTGCCTACCTAGTATCACAAACCGCAGGATGGCTCTCCCGCTTGTCAGACACTAAGTACTCTGAGTCTGCATCCACATCTGGCAGTAGAGTCTATGGAATACGTTTCACTGCAGGCGTCCTGCACCTTAGTAGGTCTGACAAGAGGCAGCCAAATCAGGGCATAAAAACAGTGTCTGAAAGGAAGGGGGTGGGAGACGAATGCCCGCACTTCAGACAGCCATCCGGAGAGCATCCTTTAAGAGACCACACAGACGCCAGCATGTGTTCCTCTTTGCTTTTCCCCTCCCTGCTTCCCTCTTATTCCCCTCTCCTTCTGTAGATGGCATTTTCACTCACAGGGATACTGACAATGAGAATTGTAATTTATAAGTAGAAAAAGTTAAACTCTCCCTTATCAAATACTTACACATTACACATTAATAGAAAACAGTATTCCTTTTGATATAGACTCCAGTGAGGTAAAGTTAACTCATTCTTCATAAATTCTTTTAATTTTGAAAATGCCATTGTCCCTGTGTGTTTCCCAGAGCTAGGGTGCTCTCCCTTATGTAAGAGCATCTCAGAATAGAGCTTCACAGGCCTTTTTGGTTTCCATCACTCTTGTAAAACTTTTATTACCGCACTGAAGGTTTTACAAACCACTAACTCTTAGTCTAATGACTATGCCTCGTTTATAAACATTTACAAGCCTTCAGAAAGCACACATGCTGTACCATCTTTGGTTCTGGAGAGTTTCTGTAGAGGCCTGTGTGGCTGCTGCTGGGTGCCCTCACTTGGTGCTGGCACCAGGGAGTGCATGTAATAAACCAGCGGTCCCGAGAGCGCTCATAAATGTATATGGATTCGTGTTTAACAGCTGGATTAAGTCATTTAATTTAAATACTGTATCTAGGCAAATGGTTTGCCTTTGAATGTGTGTGAGTGCGTGTTTTTAGTTTTTCGACTAGCCATAGCACTGATACAGAAGTATTGTTAATATTAAGCAAGGAAGTCACCTAGCAATCTTGACCTAGCAATGTGTGATCTATTGTTCATGACCAGTTACTCTCAGAAGCATTATGCTTCTTCTAGTCTGTGCTTGGACTAGTACATTCATATTTTAATTTGTAGTTAACATAAGATCACCAAGGTTAAGAGCATTATAATGTTTAATAATTATCTATACACTTCCTTCCAAAGATGTGACATCATTTTGGATCTGTAATATTTTATGGATGGCTTTAAGCAGATTACATCACTGTAGCATGGAACTGTTTTCCAGAAAACAACTAGTAAAATTCCTTTACTTCTCTTACCACAGGTATTTTACATGGAGCTGGACTTTCTCAGCTTCCCAAACAGCGCTATCAGCCAAGTGATCTACATGCTGACCAGGCTCCAAATAGCCATGTCAAATATGTCTGGTAAAAACATTGAGACACTTGCTCAACTTTACATCCACATTGTATGTTAATAGCCCCTGGCTTGCTCTCAAGCTAATAGGCCAGGCTTGCAGGGAAGCCCAGGAGGAGCAGCTGCTTTTGGCACTGGCATCTTGGGCAGCACAAGGAAACCCAGGCCAGGAAGAAGCTGCTGTTCCCAGGCGGTGGGCTGGTGGCAGAGCTCTTCTGCTCCACGCCTGCTACTCAAGGAGAGGATGCAATGGGTCCCATTAATTCTAAATTCTTTTTTTTCCCCC